GTATCTCCTGCAAATCTTACGCTTTGCTGGAAAACATTTATGTGAGAAAATTATAATTCTTTTAGGTGTTCTACTTTGCTCCTGTCCTGCATATTATTACAGGCAAATAAATCTTTGAATCAAGAACGAAGTGTTGGGAGAGAAAGAAATTACATTGTTTTTTTTTTGTTTAATTTAATTTAGTAGGTTACTATTTGCTGTGTCCTGAAATATATGCCTAAATTATGTTGCAGGTAATGAACCTTATCGGTGATGTAAAAGGAAAGGTTGCAGTTATGGTGGATGACATGATTGATACTGCTGGTAAGTGAAACTCTCTTGGGTTAGAATTCCCAGAAGAAACCTGTTCCTCTAGTTGAAATGAAAGTTCATCAACCTGTTTCCCCCAATGAAAGTTAAAGTTAATATTATCATTTGCATATAGCATGTTAGTTTCTTTGTCTGTCTGTTAACTGATGTCTAGGAAATCTTTAATTTCTATTTTCTTAAGAAGAAAAAGTGTAAGATGTGGAAAATGTTTACTGAAGAAGACATACTACAGAACAATTAACAATGCCTTTTGGTACTTAGAAGGAACTTCAAGTACTCCGAACTAATTACTTGTTTGGTGCTTAAAATAACTTTCAAGTAAGAAAAAGTGCCTTTTTACTAAACTTTTGGTAGGTTCCTTTTCTTTTTAATTTTTTTTTTACAATCAATTTACTTATCCCCCTTCCTGCAATCCTTTTTGTTGCGTGCACTCTTAACTAATTACTTCATTTTCATTTCGCAAAATATGTCTTATCTTATTATTTTATTAGCAATGACTAGTGATGCATGTAGGTACATTAATATGGACAAGTTGATTTAAATTGAAAGTGTTAGTAAAAGTTAACATATTTATTAAAATAAAGGACATATATGTTTTAATATAGGTCATACAATAATTTGTAATAGATATTACCGATTGTTTAGGTATAAGAAGAGTGTGTGATGTCCTTTTTGGTAATTGATGTGACAGAGTGCGGATAAGCAGTCTTTTTTATAAAAAAATTTTAACTGCATATATTATTTATTTTTTTCCTCAAAAGAAGAATTATTTTTTTACAATCAGCAATTTATCCAAACATGTAACTATTCATTTTTTTATAAGCTCTTGGTTGCATGAAGTAACTTAAAAACACCTAGTGCTTTTACATATACTTCTTTTGGCAATTTCAAACATCCTCTAACTAGGATATGACAACTAATAGGAATCCTAACTAAGATGTAATGATCTATATTAGTAAAAATTTCATAAATAAACCTGATATTCCTAATAGTTTACAAAACCGTTTTAGATATATAAATATTCCTTGACATTATAGCCTTCCATTTTAGCATGCTCTCTGCATCACCTGACAAGATCAAACTCATGATCGATTTCAATTAGCTTCCCCTTTTGGGCCAGTGCAAAAACCTTTGGCATAGTTTACCTAGTGGTCATATTGCTTGTGACTGCAAAAGAATTTCCCTTAGGGAAAGAAGCATCAGAATGACTTGTGCTGGCTCGAGTAGTTTTCTTTGGTGATATTTGCTTCCTCAAAAAATTCATTAAGATTAGTTAAATTATTTATGGGTTCAGGTACTATTGCAAAAGGAGCAGCTCTTTTACACCAAGAGGGGGCCAGGGAAGTCTATGCATGCTGTACCCACCCTGTATTTAGGTATGAACTGTCTATTTTTTGCTCTTTTTTCTCTAGATTCATGGCCTGCACATCTTTTGATAAAGAATTTGTATCGTTATCAGTAATGGAAATTTGGTTCTGCTGTCATTGAGAGCCTGTCTTGAAGATCTTTTTTCTCCAGAAAATTGAATAACTTGCTGGCCATTTTTCAATGTGGTGTGAAATGTTATTCACCGTCTTCCTATTTTATAGTGATGGAAATCTCAATGAGTTTTGCAGCAGAAAGATTAGGTTGTCTTGTCCAAAAAAAAGGAAAAAAGAAAACTGGGTATAATGATTAAAATAGGTAGCTGACCATGTTGGTGGGATGGATAAGATAAGATCTGGGTCAATGAAAAAAAGAAGATACTTGATCTTGACATTTTATAAATATTAATTTTTGATAAAATAGTGAATGATATGAAGGAACAACAGCTTAGTGAATATATGTAGATTTTCATGGTTAAAAGTTAGAAATTTGAACATATTTTAAGTAATTAGATTGAGCATTGGCTCTCTTGCCTTTGCACTTACCAGTTACAAGCTCACAAGGTTAGGAAATTCATTTCAGGTTCAAACTTTTTGTGTTTGTATATGTATTTAATAAAAGGAGAAATAGTAGTAGAAAGAGATAAGGAACATCACCCAATGATAATAAGAGTCTAAGCGATCCTCCAAAAAAGAAGAAAAAAAGAAACAAAAATCAATGCAGGAAAGCAGCCCAAACCCTTTGCAAAAATAGTTAAAGAGACATCCATACAAGTATTGAGCCTTGATCTAAAGATATCCATGAAAGCATCCTATCTTAAAGCAATGGAGCAGGTTGGAGAGGTTTTTAAAACGTCTAGCATTTCTTTCCAACAACAACATCCAGGATCCAGTAAAAGATAAGAATCTTGCCAAACCTTTCTATAGTCTCCTTGTTCTTACCAAGAACACTGAAGGAGGATAAAATAAAATAATAAGTGGATTCTTTTAAGAAAGCTTTGGACTCTTATTCCTTTATAATTCTTTGGGTTGTTCAGAAAGATAGGAAAAGAAGAGCTAGTACTCTTATTTGTGTAAAATCCGGGAAAAAGCTTATACTCTTTGGCTCTTCGTGGGGTTATCTGAAAGGTAGAGAGAAAAGAGTCTTTGAGGGAATTAGTTCTTCTGTTAGAATTAGAGATGCCTGGTTCTGTTCTCTAAGTATATTTTTCTTTTGAACTGGGAATCCAATCCTTTATGATGAGGACTTGAGCAACTTGATTGACTTTTTGACATATGACTTTTTGCAAGTGATATTCCCTCCGGGTGCTTCTCAGTGATATTCTCTTTTATCCTGTCAGAAAAAAAGTAATGGAATGTGGGGGTGTGGGTGAGATCTATGTCATGTTAGAAGTCTAAAAGAGCCTAAATGCTTCAAGTTGCATCACAATTGAGAAATAGTTGAGTATAGGATTCAGACTTAAGAAGACATATAACAACATTGCAGATAGACTTGACTTAGTCTGCATGCCTGAAGCAGATCATTAGTGGTTAGATAGTTAAGAAAAGCTAGTTTAGGCCAGTCTTCTCTGTATATCTTCTGTCAAGTAGGAATAAAATGTTTGCATCATAAAGTATTTGCAACTCATTTGAAGACTTTTACTAATTTATTTTTCATTACAGCCCTCCAGCAATTGAGAGGTTATCAAGTGGTCTTTTTCAAGAGGTAATCATTACAAACACACTCCCAGTGGCAGAGAAGAACTACTTTCCCCAGTTGACTGTTCTTTCTGTGGCAAACTTGTTGGGTGAAACTATATGGCGTGTCCATGATGATTGTTCCGTGAGTAGTATCTTTCAGTGAAGTCAAGGACGAAATTTCAACAGAGTTCCTCCTTTAATCTGCAACACAGGTTCCTTTTGGTAGGGGTTAGATGCAAGATTCTATAGAATTTATGTTTCAGTAGCGTAGGGTATAGAGGATTGTTCTCTCTTTTTCTTTTTCTCTTAACATGGTCATTTTGTTATTACATTAGTTCTTTTTAATTAATAAATTCCTCATCATTTTTATATCTTCTTTTCCCGTATTTTTTTCTGCTACTAATCGTTAGTGAGTTTTTCAGGCTGAATATTTACTGTTGTATAATATAGCTTAGAGAGTTTATTTCTGTTGTTTGCTGTTGCCATGTGGTGGCACTTTTCCTTCAAAATACTGAACTCTGAGTAGTGTGTTCAAGGTCCTGTTTCCAAGCAGTAATATTTAGTTTTTTGCACTCATATGCCTTATCTTCTGGTTAAGACAGAGTACTTCTGCTAATGACCAGAAGCAATATAGCCATGTCGGGAACTTTAAACCCCTTATATGATGGCTGTTAGAGCAAAATAGTATTGTCACTAACTTTAATCCTCTTGTATGAATGGCTGCCTCGGCTGTTGGTTAATGGCATTTGAAAATGGTTTGGAATTCATCAATGCACTTTGAATGATATTGAAATGGAGATAAAATTACTTTTAGTCATGGCAACCCCCTGGGTGTCGCAACATGTTTCGACTGAAGGTTTCTGTAAAATTATGCGACAATCATGTTGTGTTCTCTTCCATTCATCCGATCCATTTCTTTCATGGATGATGCAAATCATGCAAAATTTGGTGGTTGTAAACACCCATTATGAGTTATGAACTTACATGATTTCCCAGTTTTAATATGTACTTTTTGCTGCACATGTATATTTCCCTGCTGAATCTTCACTTGGTATAAATGTACCACAAATTTTAGCAATGTGGCTTGTTTTGGTCAAATAAGTCTATGAATTAGTTTTATTGGCGAATAAGTCATAAGGAATTATATATATATATATATGTTTAGCTTATACAAAACAAAAAAATAATTTTATAAATAATATTCATCTTATATGTAAAATTTTATAAATAATATTGTTAAAACTAAAATGAACCTCATTTTATGAAATAAATATAAATTATAAATACATAATTGACAGTTAGATATCCAGAAAAATATGTTAGACAACGATTATATCATTTTTTTTTTCCATTTCAATAAAAAAACTATACATTCCCTTTGATTTAACTCTATGAATTAATTAATAAATTTTATAATTTTAATTTAATTTTTATTAAAAATTTAGTAATAATAATAATTATTAAATTTTATTAAAAAATTAATTTTAGGTGTTTTATTTCAATTTTTTAACATAATGCGCCTTACCTATTCCCACTCTCCAACCGAGGCGGGCTTGGCCTTGTTCAAATTACTGTATAAGTTGAGCCATCCCGGCCACTTTTCAAAATTAGGGTTTCTGGCGCCTCTGTATAAATATACCCCTTTCTCACCAATTTCCATACTCTTATCGCCTCTCTTCTTCTGTTTACTAATTGACAGATTTAGTTCCGTCTTCCTTGGTTTTCTACTTCGTTTTCTTTTGTATTATGCTCTAAGTAGTTGCTGCTTGTTGTCTTTTGTTTTTTTCTATATGATAGCTCAAGGCTCGAGGATGCATATCTCTTCAAACACAGAAAAAAAAAAAAACTGTAATGAGAGGTATGATACCCTTGAGATACCATGATTTTTGACGAAATATATATTTCAAAGACGGTCATGCCGTGATGAACTGTTTTATCGTGTACCAGAGATCTGCTATGACGGTCACACATCCCTCTAAGAAGTTCTGAGCTGACGTCTTTCATTTTTCTACGCAGATGTTTAATCTACGTCTTATGTTTCCTTCCTTGATTTGCGAAACAGAATCTTTATTAATTCGAATGAAGATTGAAATTTTTCTTAGGGATTTTGATATTGTGTTCATTAGAAGGTGTATAGCGAGGTGACGATAGAAATTCATTGGTCTGTCAATCCACTGATATTTTAGTGTGATGTTATCATGAATCCCGACAGGTTCTGATCGCTATTTCACCGTCTTAATTTTTGAAGTTTGTTTTTGTTTTTGTTTTTAAATACGAAGTATCTGTATCATGCTGGATCTGGTGGCTTCTTGCAGCTGATTTTTTTTTGTTTTTTTAGGAAAAATTGATTTGGTTATGGGCAGGTGATGAATCTGGATTTAGTTAAATGGGTAATTTGCGTCTGAAATTTTTCATTGATGCTATTTCACAATGGAGAACTGATGCCCATGTTACCTCTAAAATTCTTTAAATATAGGTATTTGTGAATAATTGAATGAATGTTATTGGGCTAGAATGGAGACGAAAATATTTAGGGTTTCCAGCTAGAATTGGGCAAGGGATGAATGCCCATAATTAATGGGTAGTTTCCATCTGAATATTTCTTTGATGTTTTTTCACCTTGGAGTACTGATGCCCTATTTTTTTTCATAAATTTTTTTATAATTTCTTAATTTATACATCTACCCATAAATTAGAGGTAGATACCCAATGAAATTAAATCAAGACAGTATTAGTAATTGTTGATTAACCTACAATTCTTTCTAATCTCTCCTTGATGTCCTGTAAGCACATTAATGTTACCCATCTTCACTATAGATTTCACAAATGAATCAAAGAAGAGGTCTTGATTGGAAGCATAGCTCCACACTTGCTTTATTATTTCTCCTTCTTCATCTTCACTTACCAACACATTATCCGACCCCAGTAACCCTTTTCCTTCAAGCAAGTTGATGTAGTAATGGTTGTCAAACCTTGAGGGGGTCTTCAAATCAAGCGGCGCCAATTCACTGTCTCTTCCTGAATCGGAGCATGTGGACCGTAAGGTCTTTCTAAATGTATTATATCTTTTGTATTTATCATAACTGTGTACTTCTATGGGATTCACTTGGTCTATCCTTTCTTTGAAGCTCAAACATCTTGCTTTTCCTATTGTGTGGCTCCCTGCATTTGTGCATACCATTAATTGTTTTTTTACTTCACCTACAATTTTTACATATTAGAAAAATGATATGTATACATTCATGTATATTTATAAGTACCTGATAAAGCAACGAGATCTTGGATATCAAGACCCTGTTGCTTGAAATTGGAAATGAGACCCAGGAGGGAGGAGTTTGGAGCAGGAATGAATTGGTTGGCTCCATCAAAACTTGCTTTTAGTGAGTCTCTCCTTCCAAGCCAAACCATCCACCTTGGGCCCCCTCTCTTCATATGTACACATGCATACATATATATCAAAATGAAATTAGTAACAATGATATACGTGTGTAGTACCATAAGTATATATATACTAATATACCGTGTAAACAGCATCCCGGGCGACAATGGCCAAGATGTCAGCACACGAGACTGTAAGGGGACAAGCTTCTTCCAAAAGAGATTTGATCTCATCTATAACTAGAAATCCGCGTATAGAATTGAGATTAGGCCCTGCTTCCTTTTCACTGATCATGTCTCCATGGCTATCCAGTAGGACTGATGCATCACATCCCTGATCAGTAGTGTATGTTTTCTTCATCATTCATACAAAATACATATCATATATGAAGTGGGTATACATCAAATGTGTTACATTGGAGAGATAGAAAGGGGTAATTGATTACCAAGACAAAACAGTCATGAAAATGTAATCTGAGGAGCGAGGCAGCCATTCGAGGATCCTTGAGCACTGCAATCTCCACCATTCGTCCGATGATTTCTTCTGCTAAAGGGCATGTTTCTTTGTAAAAATCAAGCTGAAGAAGTCCTTCATCACTCGTCGCCAATGAACTCTTCATCATCATCAGCATCGTCAAAACAACTGCTACCTCAATCAACCGTCTCATCTTCTGGTACTGTTCTGTCCCAGATCTTGCATGAAAATGATACTTGAGCGATCGCATGTAAGGAGGATATTAATAGTCAAAGCTTGTTTGTGTTCTATATAGGGTAATGACAAGGATGTTTTGCTTGTAAGTTATTGTTATTTAAGGTTTGTTTCAGGTGTTTCAAAACAACTCTTATCTTCGACAAAATCTAAATTCTTTTTGTCTGTTGATTGATCAAAAGTTGATGCAACTAATTTAACCTACCCACTACTTTTTACTTTGGACAAGACAGACGTGATTGTTTCCTCGTAGCCACGGCAGAAAGCAAGTGTTAATAAGTTTTTCTTCCTTAATTATCTCTTTTCTTTTACTTTTGAACTTCTAATATTCTAATCATATTTTAAATATGTTAATGTTTGACTTATATATATATGTATTAAATCTAATCGTAAATCATGTTTCTGTACTATGAATTAACAATTATTTTACTGTAGACAAAAAACTCATGTACTGAAATTTACAATTTTAACTGGGGAGTAATTGTAGAACCAAATTTTTTTTCTTCATCGCGGCATGATGGGTTCGGTTCATATCCATAGAGTAGATCTAATACATACATACATACATACATACATGTATCTATGCATTGCCATCTCTAATTGTGGGACGTGAAATGAGTCGTCACATTTCCCATATGGCAGCTAGCTAAAACAAGATCGTTTTCAATTAGTTAATCATTAATCTCAAAATTATGTATATCAATGGTTGATTAATTATTGTAAACATATGAGAGCAGAGGTGCATATATAAAATTTATGCACATTGTTTCAAAAAGAAAAACATCCCTGTGATTTTCTCCTAATCTGTAGTCACACAACAAGCATATACAAGTTCAAAACCATGACATTAATTGATTATAAGTCTGTTATCTATCTACCTGTTAATTATATTCCACCTCTCCATCTTCGTCCATGAAAACCGATTCAGGATGGACCGCAGCACAGTTCACATTGAGTGCCCGTTGCAGTTTTCGAGCATCGAAAACTTCAACTTCAACTAAAAACACTGAACTTACTGGTCGATGATCTGAAATTCGTAATTCTGCTCGCTTGTAAGATAGTTGTTTGATCCCTTTTCCGAGCCAAAGTATCCGATCACACCTGAAAATGGATCCCACATTTATATGAAATATATCTTAATATAACTCTTTTCTATTAATTTAAAATTTTAAAATAATCAATTACAAATAAAAATTTAACGAGTTATTTGGGATAATATGTCACATAAAAACGTCAGATTACCATGCTGGAGATCTCTTCTTCTCTCCTTCTTTAGGGTTTTCTCCGACATATCTGTCGGTATTTATTTCATATTTATAAGTCGGAGAGAAACCTATGAGTCCCTCTCTCCATCCTTGGAATACACGTCCACTACGTAGTTCTTTACTCAGCTGCCACATAAAAATTCAAACTTCAAAAACCTCCACTAACTACAAAAGGCTGTCTATCTATTCAAACTCTTCTCACCTGATCGTTATTGATAAGTTCATCCCACCGTTTTCCAGCAACGAGCTTCCTCACCTCTGCATCCGGTGCGTTCAGGCGATAATTCAAATCTCCAAACCAGAATATCTGGCTGTCCATGGGAGGAAACAGTCAAAAAGTTCTCGTCAGTATTTGAGATTAAAAAAAGAAACAATATAACACATTGTAGAATAGCAATGGTTTACTCATGAGATGGAATTGTCTCTGGTTGATCTGCATCGAAGACGGACGAGAAACTAGTACGCCTTATAATTTCGTAAACATCAGAGTTTCTCCGATTCTCAGCTCCATCCTTCTGGCCGGAAGTCAGATGAGAACAAACAAAGCATAACCTTGATTGAAAAAGAGACATGCTAACTGAAACAGAACCCTGCAATCACCAATATTCTAGTTAACAAACACAATTTAGTCCAGTAATGTTCACATTTTAGGCAAGATATGTATCAATGTATAGATAAAATATGTTACCTTGTTTCCCATATAGCCCATAAGACCAACACCAACAGGAGAGACTTTCAAATTATTGATATGCCCCCTCAACCTTTTCCTTACCCAAACTGATATATATATCCCTACCATCTGCTTTCCCACAATTCTTACATACTTCACATGTGATTTAGATTTACTCCCATCTTTCTTAACTCCATTCTCGTGTTTCTCCTCTGGGATTTCGAAGAAAGAATCAATTTCTTCCTCCTCTTCCTCTTCAGAAGACCCTCCGGATACATCAGAAAAAGCATCTTTAACTTCTGGCTTCTCTTGCTTATCCATCCACATCGAGACTAGATTGCCTACGCTATGGTGTGATCGTGTCAATCCACTTGGCTTCAATGCAAAATTGCAAGGACTACAGTATGGATTCTCTGTCAAGTTAAACCCGATTCGCGCAGAGCTACTAAATACTCTTCGTAACTTGGAATTCGAAGGGATCACATGGGTCGCATCTAACGAGTGTTCAGGCCAATCTAATCTAGTGTCACAGTCAATACCATAGATTCTCTTCAGCTGTAAATTTTTCCTAATACCAATCACAGCTTCACAATTATTCATGTTTCCAGGAAATTGGTTAGTTATCATGTTTAGAGATAGATCATCAATCTCATCTGCAAGTGCATCAGCAACAGAAGATGTTCTTAGCACTGGAGAAGGAGGAGCACTGTAGCATTTGTGTTTGCTTTCAGGTTCCAAAGATTTGTTCAGTGTTCGTCGAATGATAGCTTCCCATTTCGGAATTGGTCCCCTGTCTTCTGCTCCCAATACATTCCCAGCAGTCAAAGGGACTATCTCCTGAAACCTAATAACATATGAAAGAGAACATCATCGATATCAAAACATGGTAGAAGGAAGCAAGTGAAGATAATTCTGCTTACCATCTTTTGGGTTGTGTGGAATGTGATGAACAAAAAAGCGTTTGGTGGGTTTGATGATATAGATGGGTTTGATAATATAGATGATTTTGACTTAGTCAAGAATAAATGGTTCCAAACCCCTAGTACAGAACTTCATTGACAGCTTGATTAAATTGTAAATTTTCGTGCATGGGTTATTAATACATATTACACACTTTTTATTTCAAAAAAAAAAAGATATCATAACACTAAATTTTGGGACTAAATTTGAAGTATAAGGGAGGAACTCACCCAATAACATAAATATCTGCAGCTTCTTGTGTAGAAAGCCAATCGTCAATCTCGATATCCTCATCTGGGATTTTGCCGGCAACATTCCAGGTTCCGATTGTCACCCTGAAGAAGATCAATGGTCAAAATTTTCAAACAGCAGAGATCATATACAATAATGGTAAATAATTATAACGGTTGTCGAACCTCACTTCCTTTGTTTTTATGTACTGGAGACGCAGAGTTTCTGATTTTCCTCTCCTGTGTCTCAACTGATAGCCCTTTGAATCCAACTCTTCACCTTCAAATTCCATTTATATAGAACCCTTTTTGAATCTCAAATCATCAATGAACAAATAATGTTTTAGACCAAGAAAAACCAAGTACTTACTAACTGAAAATTTTTTATGGGAATCCGATTGATTCTGCTTTGCTGTCTGGTTATGATCCTCATCCGTTTGCAGTAATCTTGAGTCTTTAAGAGATAAAGCTGAGCCACAATTGTAGGTTACAAAAAAAGAGACCTAATTAAGAAGAGAAGAAGATAAAAACAGAGATATAGTAAACAGTTCACCACCATATTATATATATATGTATATGTATATGTATATATACCATCATCTTCACTCTCAGTTTCAGTATCAACCTCATCTTCACTAAAATCATTTAGTTTGGGCTTTATATTCAACCATTTCTTCATCACAATGGAAGGCCAAAAAGCCTGCAATCACAACCCATATCCCATTTTAATCATACAAACAGATTGGTTAAAGTTGAATCAAATTAAGGCATACCTCTGATCGTTTCCCCCTCCTAGTTTTCATTGGTTGAAGATGAAAAACTCGGACAGCCAAGCTAAGAATTAGATAGTTTATATTTATCACGAGAGAAGGTGGTGGTTGTGGAAGGAAGAAGATGGGTTTGGAATTGGAATTGGAATGTCAGGGTTGTAGGAGATTAATATTTGAAACCATGAAGAGGATGTACCAGACAAGGTCCTAGGCTTAGACCCAGTTGATGCCAAAATACAAAGAAAAGATTCATAGATGGACCAACCAGAAAAGACACAAAAGTTATGGTCATATTTACAGACATCCACAAACATCAACTTGCACCCCCCAAAAAAAAAAAAAAAAAAAAAAGAAAGAAGAAGAATACTCAAATTTCCACCTCCAAA